GGTCTCTTTTTTGCTGCTGTATCTCATTTACTGGAAATACATAGTTAATTTGCTTTGCAGTATCTCATTTTCTTCATTATTCCTGTCTAACCTTTCTTTTACTGATTATCTTTGTTTCAGATTATCTTTCCCAGGTGCTGGCACTGGCATTTTCCAAACCAACTTTGATTTTATTTGCTGCCTATACTTTAACCTTTGTGAGCTCTTTCCCAATATCTTAAGTGTTTATGGTACCTTGTAGTTTTATTATAATAACAGTTTTCATTAATGTGTCCATTTTCAATTAAATAATAAAGTTGTTAGAAAAGACAAACATAATATTAATTCATTTACCTTCTCTTTAGTTGTCCTTCCCCAGCTCTATCATAAGTCTTACAGAACTTTTGACTTTTAAAAAGCAATGCTCTTTGTCTAAAAGTCAGGTTGAAAGTTGTTTTCATGTTCATCTTGTTCACAGATGAAACAGAATACAGATATGAAACAAATGGAAACAGTTGTCAGCAGTGGAATCCCAAGGTTGTCAGGGAAAATATGTCCTCTTCCTTGTACCAAGAAGCAGTGATCTTTGCATAGTAGAATCCATTCAAAGATGTAAGACTGCAACCAGTTCCGTGGAACTTGTGTCCTTTTCAGTGATTGTCTGACCAGTCCTCAAGGTGACTCAGATCACACCTTGGGTGTCCAATTGTTTGTTCTTCTGTCAACAATGTGTGAAAGAGAGGTTTCATTTTAGAGTTTCTTGCTGGAGTACCGGTATGACCATATAGAATGTATTGTTAATAAAGGATGTTAAAAAACCCATGTCAAGTTATATGCTTACTTCTGTACTGGTAAGATAGCAGAAACATATGCTTCTGGGAGTTTGGATGCATCAAAAGAGAGAAATACTGCTGTTGAGATGCCATGCAAATTTTTCATAAGGATATTGCTGGTTTAGGTCTGTAATGTCATGGGAAGTGGGCACCTGGTCTACAGCAGGTAATGAGTGAAAACAAAGTGTTGATTCTTTTTCCTGGGCTCAGAAATCTCTGAGGAATATGTTGATTATGAAGGAGAAACAGTTTGCAAGATTACAGCTTCAAAAGTGGTTAGTGTGAGCTTCCAGAGTTTATGTTTTCGCCTGTGAATAGTTGCAGAAGAAAAGCGTCTTGTGTGAAATCTAATCGACGCTGCAATATACTGGCTGGGATATTTGGAAAGATTTCAGTTAGGTGCTTGGTTGTTTCTAGGTTGTTTTATCCCATTTTTCGTCAGGGGACAGCCACTTCTGCAAGCCACCTGGAGGAACTGTAATGAGCTAAACAGGGAAACAGCAGATAGATTATACTGAAGGTGAGCTGCTTCCGTTTATAAACTAGGATAGGACCCAATTGTTATGAGTCTGAGAAAGTTGTGGGTTACATAATAAAGCTTACTGAAGATACAGAAGGAAAAGCAGCAGACTGTCTTTATCCCCCACCCGTGGAAGAAGGGGAGAGCTAAAAATGAGGGGTGAGATGGGTATTTATTTTTACACAGGTTGTTCTTTGAAAACATATTTTGCCCTGTGTGTTTAAAGTTGCTCAGCATGGGCAGTATCTTCTATGCTTTGGGCAGAAGTTGAGCATCTAACAATTTCTGTTTTTAAATAAATACTGTATAACTCTGTTCTTATGTTGTGCAAGGAAAGGCCTTGTTATAGGGCTTGATCATTGATCAAGTGCTGTGAGCAGCCCAAGCTTTCCTTAAAGCCTGTCAAGCTAGTAATAGTCAGTAGAGCTGTACAAAGCTTTGGTCCCTGATTCAATATGGCAGAGATTCAGCCCCATTTGGTGGCTGAATCTCTGAATCCGAATCAAATCAGAGGACCCTTTAATCTCTCTGAATTGAATCAGGACCCCCCGAATCGATTCAGAAAGATTCAGTGATTCGGACATAGAGACAGCTTTAAATGTTTTTTCTACATACCTCTAGGTAGCAGTGCTGCAATGCTGGAGCGCATGGAGCATCTCACAGAAGCAGGGGGGGCTCCCCAGCGCGCTCAGTAGCAGATGCGAAAGTGGTCCAGAAGCACTTCCAGTCCACTTCTGGGTCTGCTAGGGAGCGTGCGGGGGGCCCCCCCATGCCCTCCCAGCTCAGCAACTGGTGCCTCTTTAGTCTGGGAGGGGCACCCAGGGTCCCTCCGTGGCCTATCGCTGAGCCAGGGGGAGCACGAGGGGGTCCCCAGCGCACTCCCCGGCAGACCTGGAAGTCGACCGAAAGTACTTCCAGTCCACTTCTGGGTTCTCCGCCAAGCACATAGAGGGCACCCCACCCCCCGCACTCTTGTGGGACGCTCCATGCGCCCCAGTATTGCAGCAATCACGAGGCATGCCTGCTACCTAAAGGCATGTAGAAAAAACTTTTAAAGCTGTGCCTGTGTCTGAATCACTGATTGTCTAAATCAGCATTGAATCTTCAGATTCGGACAATTCGAATCGAGGACAGTGATCCGAATCAACGAAGCAAATTACTGTCCCTGATTCAGGCCGAATTCGAATCAAATAGGGCCCACTTCGCACACCCCTAATACTCAGCACCCTGAAGGCTCCAACCCTGCAACATATGTATGCAGAATAGAAGGATAGGCTGTGAATGCCTGAACTAAGAATGTAATGTAATCTTGACGTTACCCAGATGTCAGATGAGTTTTAAAGTTTTTGTTGTAGTTTAGTGGCTTTGAATTTAATACACTATGTACCTTCCAACAGGAGTGTCCTTGGAACACCCAGGTCCGTGACAGATGTTAAAATGATGGCACAATTGGATTCGGAGGAATTTTATGCCACATCCCAAACATTGTGTTTCCTGTAGGCCAGACATGCATGGCAGGAAGTGTGATGTTTGGGATGGGGCATGGATTGCCTCTTGTCCCAGTCATGCCACTGCTAAGCTGTCCCCAGCCCAATCCTGAAGATTGGGTAGGGAGTGGACCTGTCCTGGACCCCTGTGTTACTATAGGTAGGCCACTTAAGGTATGTCTTCATTGCAAAGGTAACTTGGGGAATCGGCATCCTTGTCTGAAGTTTAGTTTAACTCTTGTGTGAGCAGCCACGCGTCAAAGCCATACCCAAGTTACTGTGTCTTTTCCAATGCTGTGCAAACCTTTTTGTGTTGCTAGGAGTTTTGTGATTGCATCCTATGGTTCTCTGTGCTGCAGTAAGCTAAGTCATTTTGATTCTTTCCCAGTGAATTATGGGAGAACTCTGTGGGTCTTATGGGAAGTCACTAGAAGACACACAGCACTCAAGTGGTTTAACCTTAGTTCTTACTGTAAAGAGGATATGTGCCAGCCCAAGCCAAAGCCTCTTTTGGGGTTTAGCTTACAGTTCTAAACCAGTCAGCTAGCCTGAACTGAAATCATCATTAAACTTGGGGAAAAACATTTTTTGTGTGGATGGGGGAGGACTTCAGAGGCAACACCCAACTAAGAGCTTAGGTTAATGCTGTAATATTTTCTTTTTACTTTAAAGAAAACACACTTTCATTATTTTACTTTCTTAGTACACTTCTAATTTCTCTGTGTATCATATCATTGTCAAATGATGATACCTCATTTATCCCACTTTTTGACTATATTTCCTTTTCAAACCCCAGTCCTGCCCTGAAGTGTGTGTGGATGGGATGTACTACCCATGCTGATTGCAATTTAGGATTGAAGCTCTAGGTTGTAAACTCTTTGGAAACTGTCTTCACTGTACTTCTGGAGTGCCAGATACTGTAGGGCCTTGATGATGGTACAGGCCTCTAGTCTAATTAATAAGAGATGCTTTTCTCAATGTTCTTAACAAACACTTCCATTAGAGCATTGTTGGAAGTTGTTGGACTTCTCAGAAATAGATATATTTATGCTGAAACAAAACATGGGCATTTTAATAATAAAATTATATGTAATGGCACAAGTGGAGGAAGAGAAATTGGAATGGAAATTGGAATTCAGCCTTGAGGTCAGTTCAGCCCTGACACATGTTAATTAGAAAAATAAGTGTCTAAGATATTTTTTCCATAAAATTTGGCACTGAAAGAAAACATGATAGTGTGTAGTATGCAACAGACATTTTATTGTTTGGAAATGGGATAGACACAATATTGTTAAAACTGATCCTTCAAAAACTCATGAAGCAGGCCTTCAAATTTTTCATCTGTCTCTTAAGATCTTACAATCCATTTCTTCAAGATCTTTTCTGCAACCATAGAGGCTTGAAACTTTTTTTAAAGAAAGCTGAAAATCACAAAACTCCAAAGAGCTGAAGATTGTGAAATGCATCAGGTACCATGTGGGTCACAACAAAATCTCAACAGTTGGCAGCACTACATGTATCTCTCACTTGTGTCTTCATCACATATGAGTAATGAAGTCATTGCAGACCCATGATATACAACATTACAGCATCATGTGATCTCTCACTCTGCATCTTGTCTGTACCTCTGTGTCTGTGTTCTAATAAAATACATATACACAAATGCAAGAAAATAGCTTTATATTTTAAACAGGCTAAAAGTGTATAAAGAGAAGTGAAGGAAGGTTTGTTTCTCTGAATACCTCCTCAAAGTCCTAACTTAAAAACATAAAATCATAAACTAAAAGAAGCATGTAAGTATCATCTCCAAGGAACTGTTAGTCATTTTTTATTACAGAAGATAATAGAATTACCTGCTTTCCCAGGATCTTGGCTCGTTTTCCTTCTATGCCAAGTGATTGCTGGGATTTGACAAGTGATTGATTTGGTTTCAAAGGGTGCCTGAATTGCACAAAGTGTTCTCCATATTAGAAAAGACACGGTCATTTTTTTTTCCACAAGTTTCAAGATTGATTGCCTTCTGTAAGTATTGTAAATTAGTTTGTTTGCTATTTCTTTTCTCTGGATTGCAGTAATTGGTGTTATTAGCTGAAGGGCAAGTTTTCCAGTGGGTCGGAAAGATAGCCTTTTAAATGCTTGCCCTTTTTGTTTTTTGTTGTTTTTTTTTAAACAACTGTACAGGACTGGAAGTGAGATGGGTAGACTGCTACTTTCCGTTTACTCACCCTTCTTTTGAGATGGAGATCAAGTACCAAGGAGAATGGATAGAGATCTTGGGCTGCGGGGTCATGGAGCAACAGCTAGTTAACTCAGGTATGGAAACTTCTCTGTTTCATTGACTTCTCTATTAGCAGGCACTTCCAGCACAATCAGTTTCACAATCTGGAATGCCCCCTTTTCCCTCACTGCACACAGATACATCTCTGTTACAAGCAGGCGGCAGTAGCAGACAGGTTTCAGATGGAATTCAGACACTGCACAACTATGTTTTGAGAGCAACAAGTTAATCAATGAGCAGGAGCCTGAAAACTTGAAACTCATTTTTATGGAATCATGAAGTTGCAGGGTGCACATGCAGGAAGGATAGAACTTTAATTTTAAAAGATAAGGTAAATTAATTAAGTCACACTTTCCTGTCTTGCTATGGAAGTCTTCACTCATATAGCTATGATTAAAAATGGCATTAGCAAACTACACACACTAATATTTAGAACAGAAGATTCCAAACCTTTGATTGTACCAAAAGACTCTGGCACATTTGATAGTGCTTTGGTTAATGTCTTTCTATGTTTTATTTCTTTATACTGATTGTCATATGCATTAAAAGTAACACCATGTGACTGACCTGGAATTTCAGAGAGCTATTCAGTCACCAGATATGAATTATCCTCTAATGTTTACCAAAAGGAACTAATAATGGAAAAGAGAGACACTGATATTTCTTTCCAATTATTTTCAGTCTTGATGGGCTTAGGTCTTGGAAGGGCTGAAATCTTGTAGGCGCATTTGAATAAGGGCAACGTATGATATTCTGCACTTCTGAAAATCAAGCTCATAGAATCACAGAAATCACAGGGTATCACAGAGAAGTAGAGTTTGAAGGGACCTCAGGAAGTCTTCTGGTGCAACTCTACCCCAGGATGATCATTCATCTCCCAAACATCCTAGGGAAGTGTGTCTTCCATTGTTATATTCAGTTGGTTCTGTCATGTTTCCATAAGCAATTGTAGGTACAGTACACTCCAAATTCTTTTTGTTGGCTTCAGAATCAGGTAGGTGGAAGGGCTACAATCGTAAATATTTAAATAAATATTTTTAAAAGATTCCGTTATTTTGATACAGCATAATTCTTAACTAGGTCTCCAGTGTCCGACATTGACCTTCAAGGGTCTGACAAGAATCCAAGTGAGCAATGTTTGAAAGGGCCCAAACTCTTCTCTCATTGTTTCTTTGCATAGTGTGAAAATCACAGTTCACCAATCACAGTTTTACTATCCTTCATTAGGCATTCTGCAGTAATACAGTACTTAACTAACACGCTGCATCAAATAGTGTGACTTAATTGAAGTCTTGGGGTATGTCTGCACAGCAAAAAAGGTATGTTCTTAATTTCAGTTGCCAACATGATTAGGCTAATTTAGTTTAAAATAACATTGAAGAAGAGCAGCTTTGAGAAACTAGGGTTGCCAGCTCAGGTTCAACCCCAAGCTCCCTTAACTGAAACTAACCTGAAGTTTCCTTGGTGTTACTGCAGTTTAACCCAACTTAAAAAATATTCATTTTTGCAGTATCTACACCACTCCTAGACAAAAATAGATTTAAATTAAGGATGAATTTTCTCTCCTGATGCTAGAAACATATTGACACCATTAATGGTTATGGCGTATAAACAAAAATAGGCTAATGCATTTGAATTTCATTCAAAGAAAATGAAAAAGAGGAGACCAGTGCTTGACTTCATTTGACAAAATAGTTGAGACAAAGGACATTTTATTTTCATATTTCTCAGAGAATAGTACAAACAAGAGGGAATATATAAGCAGCAAGTACAAAACTTGACTACATATATGATTTCTTCAGTTAAATATGCTGGAAGACTAGAGATTCATTTTGGATTTGAAGAGTCTTATTATTTGGTGGTGATTCATGATACAGTAGGCTTCCAGATTCCACCCTGCAGCCCCAATTTCAGATTGCGTAGAATTAACTTACCAAATAGAAAGGACGAGTATTAGCACTAGCATGAAATGCATGCCAACCTCTGCACTACCAGGAAGGTAGTATTGCTTTCTTTTGTTGCATAGTTAGTGATAAAATATATAAGACCTTGCGACATATTCAACTTTTACAAAAACAAATGGGCTTCCAAATTGTTGTTTGTTTACTAAAAATGTGTGTTGTAATGTTGCATGTGATACTCTATCCAAGTAATAGTAGCTATTGTCCTATTCTCATAAATCCCAATATGACCCTAGATTGTCAGTTTGTCTATGATGAAGCCAAGGTTATGAGTATTATTTGAATGACTAAATTCTCAGAATTTATTGTAGGAAGAAACTTCCCAGAACCACAATTAAAAATCCTGAAGTACTACCCTGACATTGATCTCTCTCTGTCTCTAAAAAGGGTAAAGATCCAAACCATTCCTTTGACCTAAGTTCCTGGCAGGACTTGGAGTTTACATCCTACACCAGGCAGGAGGAGTTTATTAATAGCTCTTTCTCCTCCTCTGTAGGGTGTTTCTTGCTTCTCTATTACTTATGGTCAGTGCTATGTTTATTACTCTGCCCGTGTGCTTTGCATTGAAGGCACTGGGGAAGAGAGCCAGTTTGCAGGATATAACTGCATTGGTATCAGTTCTGTAGTACTATCATTGCCCCCCAAAACCAAAGAAAACTGGTTATAATTCCTTGTAATCTTAATTTGGCATGAGCCAGTGGACAGACAAGTCTTCAGCAGCCTGGCTAATGAGCTCCCAGTCTTCAGCATTCTGGGTAAAGAGCTCCCAGTTTTCAGGTGTCTTTTCATATGTGCCTCAAAACTTCACTTGGAATATGATACATACACCTGTCCACTATGATACATACAGTCTCCTGTCTAGGAGACTACATTTATCTTTGATTATAGATTGGTAGACAACAGGAAGTTGACTACTCTAAAACCATAACATCTCGTTGAAAAAACATGAAATCAGAACTTTCTACCAGTTCATCTTACTGTAAAAACTGCTAATTCAGAATCTCTAGAAAATAGTCTAGAAATCAGCTTGGTATGATTGAATAAAAAGAACAATATTATTCAATTATAATGACTAACCTAGAATTTAGGGAACATTTCAGTTGGTTGTCTTTGTGTAGTAGTTCACAGGACAAATGCAGAAAGATGCTTTTCATACTAGTTAGTGACATTAGAGTTACATTATGACACATTGTCACAGAGAATGCTGCAGCAGAATGGACATAAGCTGAATGACAAATCGTTCTTGCAGTAGAAGTTTTGGAAGGTTTGTTTAAGCTCATTTTCCTGAAATGTGTTTTGTTTTGTGATCTCTACATATATCTTTGTTATACTAATAAGGTCAAAAGATCTAACAAGGTAAATAATTAACAGAAACTCTTTCGTCATTTATTCTTGTATGTACCAAAACACTTATAGCATCTTTTAAGATGTGTTCAATGGCTGTGAGTGGTAAACATGCATGGTATTTAACATGTATTTAAGATTTAAGTATGTAGTGATGTTGCCCAGTGAGATTTGTGTGTTTTCTTCCATGAAAAAGGAATTGTAAGGCCTCAAATCCATCCACCCCATTTAATAACTTTATAAAAAGTACTTGTTTGTGAGACTGCCAAAAGCTTCCAGTGCAAGTTGCTTTTGCTCATAAATTTGCCATATCTACCATGAGGATGCTTCAGGCTGGATGATTTTTACATAGCTGTTTGTTTTATATATAGATAATACG